TCTTGAACCGTTTTATGAATATTTGCATCATTTATATTTTCATCTTGCTTTTTTCTTTTAGCGATTTTTATCTTTAGAATCGATCGGTCTTCCGAGCATGCTTTAAATTCATTTGTTATAACATTAATATATTTTTCTTCTAGGATATCAATTTTAATAGGAGCATTCTCGGCGAGGGCATGTATTTTAGTTATTCATTTAGGATTTGAGAATGCATGTGATAGTTGATTTCCAATATCTTTAAATGAATTATCTTTTGAACTTCTAGTTCACATTATTTTGTACGAGGATCAAGATGATATAAAATAAATTACTCCATGTAAATTTTTTTCAACATTTTCAATCGCTTATTTTGCTTATTCTCTCCCCTAATATTGAAAAAATTATTTCATTAAAATGACAAGTCGATAAATTGAGCTGTAAAAATATCTCGGTTTCATGGTTCAAGATATTGAATTATCAAATAGATTCAAATCCAACATATATTCTCAATCTCTTTTAGGTGCCATTTTATTTCATTATGGAGGAGAACTATGTATATATATTACAATGCTAAAAATTCATAAATAAGGAATATTTGGCTAATGACTATAAATCAATTAAAGGAGGGAGAATATCTAATAACTTATGAGTTTGATGCAAACAAGTATTGCTGCATGTAAGATTGTATGTCTCCAAACATAAACAGGGAGTTTTGTTTTTAAATAATGGTTTAGCTATCACTTGGAGACTTTTGCTAAATGATTTTACTAAACCTTTTTGAGTATGAAGATGACCAACAAGATGTTCAATCTTTATTCTAATAGTCAATCGGTAATCATTTAACTTTTAGAAGATAAATTCATCGAGCATTATCAAGGTGAATTGTTTTAATGACATAATTTAGAAATTATGCTTGTAATTAAATTATTTGGATTGGCAATCTTGAAAATGTCGGGTTTTGAGTAGATAATAAATATACATGTGACCATTTTATGGTTGGATCTAGTAAAATCATAAAATATCTAAATTGTCTATATGGTGGAAAAATTGATCCATATATATCACCTTGATGATGGCTTAAAATACTGAAGATTCAATCTCAATTTTATTCAATGATGACTTAATAATCAATTTGCTTTGAGAGCATGCGAGAACATGAAAATTCATTAAATTGAATAATCTTCACGCTCTTCAATAGATGTCCATATGAATTTTTAATAATTTTTTTGCATCATTAAAAACCCAAGATAAAACAATTGAACATGCCACATAATAAAAGTATTTGAATTAGTAAACTTTTGTTTTACTATAACATTTGTTTCAATCATTCCAATATTTATAAAGATCAAAAGAGAAAGCGAGTAAATTTTTTAATACATATTTTCTATCGGATATAATAATTATAATATATAAGTATTCAATATTTTTTACATTTGCTATGTTGATATGATATCAATTTAGATAAATATCTTTGGAAATCAATAAATTTCTAAGCAACTTTAGAGAGAATAATACATCATTTATAATAAAATTTATCATTTCGGGACAACATATTTGCCTTTTAGAGTTTTTAAATTATGTCACTTCAAATAATAATATATTCGCTATTCTAGAGCCTTTAAAAGTTATCTCTTCAAGTAATATATTTGCTCTTCTAGAGTCTCAAAAATTTATCTCTTTAGGTAATAATATAATCGCTCTTCTAGAGTTATGTTAAATTGATATTATTAGATATAATATTAACACAAAATAAATAATTAAATAAATAAAAATAAAATAAATAAATAAATATATTTTTCATAAACACAAATAAATAAATAATAAAATAAATTTATAACTATCTCTATGTAATAGAAATTATAAGAAAATATAAAACATCTTATTTATAAATAGAAAAGCTAACAAGTTATTAATTTCAATTAGCTCCATTTTGATATATAAATTTGGCATTTATATTTTACTCTTTTTTTTTTTTTTTTAAACGAGGTTTGATAAAGCTCGATAAGATGTTTTGGTGTATGACGAGTATACAATTAATGTCCATTCATACTACATCTATAACATTCATTTTCAAAATGCCGGCTTGATCTATTTTTATTCTTTTCTTATTTTTTTTTTATAGTTATCCACTTCTTATGATGATATGTATTGTTATAGTCATCACGATTATAAAGATAATTATTCCGATCACATCTACGTCCATGATCACATCTACGTCCATGCTCAAAATTATTATAAGTTATTGCATTCACTTTAGAGAATGGAGTAAATCCAGTTGGACAAGATTTTTTTTTCATTAATATCTTGTTATTTTATTTAGTCATGAGCAAGTATGAAATCGATTTAGAATATTTCTTAAATTAATTTTCTCGATATACTATTACAGGAGCATATTCGAGACATGAAAAGTAGAGAATATTTACTCAACATCAATCACTCATGATTAATAATTCTTACTCAAAATGTCAAAAGTCACAAAATCAAGTTTTGTCGGGTTTGATATCATAAAAATTCTATAGTGTAAAGTATAATAATAATATTAGAAAATAAAACAAAATATAACAATAAAATTTAAATAAAAAAACATAATAATAAAATTTAAAATTTTCAAATAATATATAATAAATCATTAGATTCCATATATTAAATCATTTAAGTTTTTCGAATGTATATTCTATATATCATTAGATTTAAAGTACATGATAAATTAGATACATACCTCTTAATGATCTAAATAATTTAGTTCTTTTGGTATGACACTTGTGTAGAAAAAATCTAATGGTTGAAATAAATGATTAATTCTTTTGATAGGTATATACCTTATGATCTATTATCTAGATTGGTTAGAACTTTGTGCTGATAACGTGTTATAACGAAATAGAGTAGAAGAATTGAAGAAAAAGATGATAAGAAAATCAATTCACTATAAAATAAAGTGAATACAAGAGATAAAGAACTTCAAATTATTCTTTTAATCTTTCTAAAATACTTGTACGTCAACTAATAAACAATTAAGCCTATTTATAGGTTTCAAGATTAGGAAGAGAATTGAAAGAGATTATGGACTATTAAAAGATGCATAAATAATTGAATAAATTGAATCACCATTTCAATTTCTCATATTGAATGATGAATTGAATCAAATGAGTAGTGAGAATATTAAATAATTATGGACTTCATTATTTCATAACATGGTCATGAATTTTAGTAAATTTGAAGTAAATAGTATATAATATACATGTAATAAAAAATAACATGTAGATTATTGTTATTAAATGATAGTTTAATCAAAAGTAATTACACTTAATAACATTGAAGATAAATATGTATGAGTAAGGTTAGCTTGGTCAATAACAATAACAATATTGTAGAGTGAGATTAGCTGGAATAATCACCACCCAAACAATTCCATACATGGTATGAAAGTGCTCTTATGGTTAGCTTGCGTATAGCTTTGACTTCATGTGGCATAATTCATAAAATCAGGATCATTCTGATCTTGTCCCACGTAGTAATTTGATATTAAATGCAACAAAGGAAATCCATGGCAATATTCAGCCGATTTCCTCCCTTACTGATTGGTAGAATGAACGCGCACGAAGGGCAAATATCACATGGTGATTAAACTTGTGTTTTCCAAAGTCAATTGTACATGAATATTTTATTTATAAATTCACGATCTGTTACTTTGCAAGGTCAGAGAAATTAAAGAAGGGAGAAAAAAAAAAAAAAACAGAAACAAAAGAACGGAAAACGAAGGTAATTGGATTGCGAAGATGCATGCTAGTACTGTGCTTATTGTATTTATAATATCCCACGGGAAGTATATCTTTTGGACCTTAATATTCATAGGTAACTGGAAGAACTAAGTATACATATACATGCCTCCATCTAAAAAACAACAAAATTCTTGTCTTTTACTTTTCAAGAAATTGTAAAGACAAACAAAATTTATCAATATATCTTCCTTTCATCATCAAACAAGAGCTAATTGTGGACATTTTATAATTCATTTATTTCCCGTGCCACCATCTTAACCAAAATGCTTGGAACCAACATAATACAAATCGCTCACTACATAATATCATATAGTTAATGCTATAAATTTGAAAACCAATTAAATTAAGAAGAAATAAAAAGGCTCGAAAACAGAAATCAATATTCTTTGTACTATTGCAGTATGATAAAAATAGATTAGGATAAAGAAAAGCAAAAAAAGCCTTTCTACTCACTAATTAAAACAATAACATTAACAAATGATTGATGTAGCAATGTTTATGGTACAAGACTGCAAACGTCCTGGCTAAATTCATGAACGAAAAACATCTATAATTTTTAAATTAATATTGGTTGAATGGATATATGTCATTTCAAAAAACTATATAGATAATTTACATAATAATCTATATAAATAAGCTACATAGCACTTCATAACTAAGAAAATTATAGTTAGATGTCGGATACGAATTAATAATTTTAATAACAATTGTTGTCATTGATAATAATTTTTTTAAAAAAATTATCTTACTAAAATGTCAATTCAATTATCTACCTTCGAATATGATACATAAAATTGTCATATTGTGAGAACTACCTAGTTATTATTTTCACCTCATAATTGATATTCTTTGAATTTTTGTTTATAGAATTATATAAAAAGAAAATGTGTATGTACACACGTTCTGATATGCTTTGATTTTTTTATTATTATTTATTATTTTTTGTATTCGACGGCCATATGAAGTTAGACAATTTATGTAAACAATCTAACATAATAAATACATAAAAAAATTTGTATTATTGCAGCTTAATAAAAATAGATTACGAGGAAGAAAGGCAAAAGAAGCCTTTCTACTCCCTCATTAAAACAATAACACTAACAAATTAATTATCGATGTACGTAGTAATGTTTATGGCACAAGCCAGCAAACATCCTAGCAAAAGTCCAAGTAAACCATGAGGTGGAGAAGATGAAATGAAAACTTTGTTATAAGGGGGAACTTATTAAACTGAAGGATTTAGGAGGGTGGACACTTGAAATTTTCTGCAACCTTCCTATCGCATTCGTTGAGCAACAACTGCACAGCGACAGGAACGTCCAACTTAATCAGGCCCGAGAGATCAACTTTGATTCGTGTGCAAAGGCAAACGGCAGCTTCAAGATCAGCAAGACCATCAATGAGGCTGCAGCATTTTGCTTTTTCTTTTTCACCAGCAAAAATTTTCAACAGATTCAGGACATTTGCACATGCTTGCAGCTTTAAGGTGTCTCTAGGGCAAGTGCCCTTTGGTAATGGTGGTGGAGGTGGTGACTTGATCTTGGGTGGTGGCGGTGGTGACTCGACCTTTGGTGGTGGCGGTGGTGACTTGGCCTTTGGTGGTGGTGGTGGTGACTTGGCCTTTGGTCGTGGTGGAGGCGGTGAGTTGCCGTTTGGTGATGGTGGTGGTGGGCAATACTCAGCGGAGCTCACCAAAGCCAAAAATAGGGTGCAGAGGGAGAGGAGAAGGGCAGTGGAGGCTAGTGCTCTTGAAGCCATATCTAAAACTCTTGAATGGTTTTAGAGATGCTATGAACTCCGAGAGGAAGGTGATAAGTGGTGGTGCGAAATAGAGAAGTGGGTTAGGCCTTTTATAGATGACGATTAAGCGCCAGTTGGCTTTTAATAATCCTTAGACGTGAACCATGCATGCGGCCGGGAAAATTGGAGGTAATAAATTTGGTACGATCTGGCATCGCAACTGGAAGATACAATTAGAATCGTTCTTATTGTTTTTTCTGTACTATTAGTTGTCTCACACATGCAATAGTTTTTCATACTCTAATTCGTAGAAGTTTTTCGTTTGCATAACGGTAGTAATCAAAAGGAGGATCTGCATATCATGACCGGAGATTTTCTTGTTGACTTTTCATGCTTGGTTCTTCTGTCTCTTCTGGTAATTAATAGTTAATTTAGTAACAGAACAATCAGTTCAGAGTTTTAACTCTAGCGAGAAGTCTATGTTTTGGAGAAGGAAATTTTTTATATTATTTATGAAACAATTAACAACATTTAATTTATGGAAGACAGATAGAAATAAAGATGAGAAAAAAATAAAAAAGAGAGAATTAAAAAAACAAAGTCTAAGTGAAAATATTCTTATTATTTTTTTATAGGTTGAAATGCTATTTTTTTTCCCTCTTATTTGTTTTTATTTCTTTAATCAAAATAGATTAATAAAATAAACATTGTTATTTATTTTATAAGTACTGTAAAATTTTTCAAATTGTTGTTGAATAGTCGTCTTATGGTTTTATTATAATCTCTCATAGCAAAAGTAAATTAATATTGAGAACATTTTTCTCAAAATATGCATGTAATTGATAAGTTTTGTCTGGCTAAAATGGTTAAGTGCTAGCTTCCTACAGGGTTCTGTTTTTGTCTTGTCAATATTTTTCTCAAATTGTTATTGAATAATGTTCTCATGGTTTTATCATATGATCTCTCATGGTAAAAATAAATTAATATTGAGAATATTTTTCTCAAAATATGCATGTAATCTTCTTGTGGTTTTATTATGATCTCTCATGGAAAAAGCAAATTAACATTGAGAATATTTTTCTAAAAATTCGCATGTAATTGATAAGTTTTGTCTGGCCAAATTGGTTAAGTGCTAGCTTCCTACAAGGTTCTGTTTTTGTTCCCTCTGTCGTAACAAAAAAATCTTATCCATTTTACAAATTTAATTTTTAATTATTTGTTTTGTTCTATTCTATTTTATTTTAGTTTATTTCCTTTTTATTTTATTTTTTGAATTTAAAAAGAATAAACAAAAATACAAAAAAGAAAAATATATAGAAAATAAAAAAATAAAAAATTCCATCCATGGACATAATTGTATTAAAAGAAAGTATAATTGAAGTAAGTAGGAATGTAATTGAATCAATTGGAAAATTCAAAATTAAATTACACTCGTATAGGGACCTTATTGATAAAATTGCACTTTACAAAGACCGAAATTCCATAGAAAAGGATACGATTACGGATAATTGAAATTCACAAGTATCAAGTTATAACTTTGGATTGAATGATAAAACTAAGTCAAGTGGACAACTAGTCGTCCCTTCCAATCCGAAATCTCTCCGAGGATCCTTTATCAATCTTTCCAAATCTTTCCTTGATTACGTTTTTTAAATTGCATTTACTATGATTTGTAGTTGGAATTGATACCATTCAAGAATCATACCTCACCGATTCGATTTCCTTGTGTTAGCTAATTAAATATCAAAGTTAAGATTTGGTATCCGAAATCTAAGAATGATCTGGACTAATTTTGGGGAGAGATTTGACCAAATTCTTGCTTATAAAATGCATGTGTTGGCTAGGAAGAGGGGACAACAAGAAAAGGGTGGAGAATTCGGGTTGTGTGAGAGAGAGAGAGAGTAAAAATTAAGAAAAAGAATCCAATTTGAGGGATTTTTGCAATTTACGGTGGTCGCCTTTTTACGGGTAGCTCTTAATATTCTTCATTTTTGGGATTTTATTTTTCATCTATCGGGATTCTAAATTAGAGATTTTTTTTTTTTTTTGTTCGGGTTTTGTTTCGAATCTTGTAGGTTTTTCTGTTCAATTTTTTGACTTTTTGGGTTTTCACTTAATTTTTTTGGACGGTGTTCTTATGTTCTTCATTTTCTAGGTTTGATCTTTAAGTTCTTGGGTTCCATTTCATTTTCTAGTTTCTTTTGTTCGAACGTTTTGGGCAATGTCCTTCATTTGTTTAGTTTTGGTGAGTTCCTAATCATCAATAAATTTCTAAGCGGATTGTCCTCACCTATTCTCGTTCAAAAAAATCAATTCAACTCGCAAAATCACCAAGCAACAACAACAATAGGGTTCCAAAAATTATCCTTAATTCTTTTGGTTTTTCTCAAGTAATCCTAATGCCAACGTCATTCCATTTTTTTATATTAATTTTTAAATTATTATTAATTAAAGTTCAATTCGAAATAAGATAGGAAGAACCGGACATTTGATCAAGAAAGGGTAGAAAAGATAGAATGAGAGAGAAGTGAGGGCATTAGATTAGGTTCGAGGGACTAATGATGATTCCCCCATCAAATTACAAGTCATCAATATTTAATAATTAGGATGTTCTCTAACACACCGATTGTGTTGAGGCTTAAAGTGAATCTAATGATTAAATCGATGTGTCACCTAACAAAGAGGAATGATGATTGTTTCAATACAATGCCACATCTAAAAATAAAAAAAAATTAATTTAACTTGGAAATTAGATTTCAAATTGAAAATAACTTGCACAAAATAAAATCTTTTAGGAGATGAATTTATGACTAAACTAAAAGTGGTACCTTTCTTAGAAAAAGACATTTTTGGATGATTGATATCTTTTCGAAACATTAGTGCTTATTTTTTAGGTTCCTAGTTTCATTAATACTAGGTGATGACTCTAAACTCGATAACAACTTGCATCCTCGGAACAACCCATAAATACGATGTGAATCTTTGAAAACCTAGAATTTTTCGAGAGTCCCATCTAATATCGAGTAGTGATAGAATGACGATTCTGCTAGGGACTTTAAGTTAGGCCATAGGTTTAGTCTTTTAATTTTATCTCTTGTATTTATTTTTTTTATCAATTATTTTCCAAGTAATTTAATTTTTTCCATTTAATTTTGATTTATTTATTTCTTATATATATATTATAATTTTTGTAATTTATTTTCCTGCTATATATTTATTTTTTGGACTAGGTTAGATGTTTTCTTTGAACTATTGCACACACCACGTGTTAGTGTAGGTGCCCAAGATCCAACCATGTTTGGAAGGACTCGAGTTAACGTATTATTGCATCATTTATTTCAATAATAATAAAGAAGTCATTCTATTAATTCTTATGTTTTATGTTTATAAGTTCGATAGCGGTAGATAGAAGTCCTTATGATATGCATTTGCAATAGTGATTAATAAAAAATATGAGACAAACACTAATGCATATAAATGATATCATTAAACATTGTCAAAATAGACACCGACTATATATGAATAAACTTGTCGGTGCTATGCTCATGCTATATGACAGCGAGTAGGAGATCTCACACCTATTGGCATGGTGATATCAAAGCAAGCACCTAGGTGATTTATGTTAGAGAACATATGATTGGACTTGACTTTCCATGAGAATCTATTTGGTTTTAGTCTATGAGAATCTCATACGAGACGGGTACAAATGATCTTTAGACTTAAAGTGATCACGGTTGTCTCATTAGAGGACTTATGCACTTTTACACTCATTTTGATGGACTTATTAAAGGATTGCACATGAGTGATTCAATGGGGTGCAATAGGAATCTAATGGAGGTATGTGTATGACTAAGATAGGGCATGTCATTCCTTATATGCTAAAGGAGTTATCACATTGCACTTCGATAAATGTCTGCTAAAGAAATATGTGGTCACGGTAGGAGTACACCAATAAAGCATAGTTGGTTTACTCTATGAGCTAAGATATTTAGAAATTGAAGAAAACTTATGTGATTATAATCGAAGAAGACTTATAACCAAGTTCGAGATCACATTATGATAAGTTGAAATAAGGACTGAATTGTATGGTAACCATGCTCATGAAAGATAATAATGAATTAATTAATCTTTCTAGATAATTGGGTAATCATGATGCCTTGTTAGAGGCCAATCTTGATTTATGTATCAAGAGATAAAAGATGGGTATTTTGTTCTTGAAACATTGCCAACATATCTAAGAAGCTATTGAGTCACACACATAAGTTTAAGTATTCACATGATGAATGAGAAGCAAAGATATTTGAAAAGGTTTCCAATTTTGAAACTTTCTTGTTTTGGAAAGGGTTTCCAAAATAGGAAGTTTCCTTAAATGGAAAGTTTCCTATTTTAGAAATTAGTTTCCTAATTTGGAAGGTGGTTCCAAATTTAGAAATAAATAACTTAAAATGGAAATGAGTTTCCTAATTTAGGTTAAAAGGTATTTTGAGAAATTATTTTCTAATATGGATCTGCCTAAAATAATCCAAGATTATTTATTTGGATAGTCCAAATAAATTAATTAGGATATAATGGTTTTAGCCTATTAGGTTTAATTAAAAGTCTTAAGATATTTTAATGGGAGGATAAACATCAACCTTATTAGATAAGGATGAATGTTTTAAAGATAAAGATTAAAAAGTTTACATGTAAAAATAACTTCTAATCCTTGAAGTATAAAGAGACAAGAACCTAGAGTCCTTAAGGGACTTATTACCACCTCTCTCCTTGTTTTTGGAGGATAAGAAAACTCTTTTATATATATATATAGGAGAGAGAGAGGTGTATCATACAAGAGAAAGAGAAGAAAAAGAGAGTTTCGGCTAGAATTGAAAAAGGCCACTAGGGCATACGGCAAGGAAAGAAAAAAGGAGAAAATATTTTTCTCTAAAACCCTAGCACATCACACTCTTTCCTTCTTCTTTAAGGTTGTTACAAAATTACTCGGAATAGATTTTTATAGAAAATACTACACAAATCAG